CGACGTCATATATCAACTAATAAAATCCGCTCGGCAATGTAAGCCACCTTAAAAGTAAAAAAAAAAAAAAAAAAAAAGGAAGAAGATTATATATAATTCTAAATCCGAATGGAGTTAAAAGTAATAACTTTAATTATGATATAATATAGAAGTTAAATAGAATTGAGAGCTTAGTAAAGCTTTTTATAACAAAGTTAACAAGAAAATATAATAATACAGAGTAGACTTTTTAAAGAAGAGATAATTTAACTAAAAGTACTAAGTATAATTAGAAAAAGCTATGGCAAAGAATTAAAAGACAAAGAAAAATAAATTGTCTTTTAATTAAAAATAATAAAAGTTTAGCTATACAAATTAAGTATTTAATAAATAACTTACTGACATTTAGTGAGTTTAAAAAACACAAGCTAGAACTATATTAAAAAGATTGTTATATCCTATATAAAGAAGGAATACCTGAAGATTTAGACTATTTAATATAGTGCTTTGCTTTACAAGAATCTTGAAAAAAAATTGAAGAAACAGTTTTAGTAGAAATTAGCAAAGTTCAAGCTAAAAAAAACCTAAACTACTCTCTTTGCTAGAAATTAAAGAAGCTATTTTTTTGAAAAATAAAGAGAGCAGATACCAAAGAAGAATAGAGTTATTAATTAGACTTGAGGAATATAAAATATTAAAAACCTTCAGGTACTAGCTCAGAAAAAGGATATAGCAAAAAATTGACTAGATAGTATTCTCTTTATCATATAAAGAAGTTTTGCAAAAATAATATAGAACTAGTAATATAAAAAGGTAATTGTATGAAAAAAGCAAGAAAGAATTACAATAAAGCTTAAAAGAAATATAGCAAAGAAAAAAGAAACAAAAGTAAGAACTTAAACAGATAAGGAAAGGAAAGTATTACTTGTGAAAAAAAAAAAAAAAAAAAGAGTAAATAGAAGTATTAGTAGAAAAAGTAGTTAAGAAAAGAATAAAAGAAGGAGAAGAAAGTTAGTAGAGTTTTTTTTGACTTAGACAAAATTGTTTTAGCTATAAAGCTAGTACAACAGGTCATACCTAAGTATTCTAGTAGTAGCTAAATAATATTAAGTTTAGGAAATTAAGTAGATTAGACAATTATATATAACTTAGCTACAGCTATAGTTAATAACTTAATAAAATTTATGATATAACTATCAAAAGAAAAAAAAACAAAGTTTTTACAAATAGTAAACAAGCAATAGAAAGTATAATGAAAGCCTACAATACTAAGCAATATAGCAAATAGATTAGAATAAATAACAAGATAATTCTAAAAAAAATAATAGTACTTGTTAAACAAAAAAGTATAAAGCTCAAGCTTAAAAAAGTTAAAAGTTATACTAATGATAAAGAGAATAATGAAGCAGATCAACTAGAAAAAGAAAGAAAGAGATCATATATAACTCTAGATCTGAATAGAGTTAAAAGTGATAACTTTAACTATAATATAATATAAAGGTCAAATAGAATTGAGAGTTCAGTAAAGCTTTTTATAACAAAGCTAACAAGAAGTTACAATAATGCAGAGTAGACCTTTCAAAGAAGAGATAACTCAACTAAAAGTATCAAGTATAATTAAAAAAGTTATAGCAAAAGATCAAAAAACAGAAAAGAATAAACTACCTTTCAATAAAAAGATAGCAAGAAGCTAGCTATATAGATCAAATATTTAATAAATAGCTTATCAATAGCTACAGCCATAGTTAACAACTTAATAAAGTTTATGATATGACTGTTAAAAGAAAAAAAAATTATTTTTGTTAATGTTCTATGCTTCTGCATTTTGCAAAACCTTTCTAGTATTTATAAGCTCCAATCTATCTCTATATCTTAATAAAGATAATGCAAAATTTTGACAAAATAGATCTGTAATACAATTTTTTTGCTAAGTTATTTTGATAATCCTATTTATTTGATTAGTTTTTACTGTATTTATTTTTTATTAAGCTATTCATTCTTGTTCACTAATCTAGTTGTATAATCTTATGCTTTAGAGTATCGTTTGCAGATTTTGATATCTTCTGTATTTAGTTTTTTAATGCTTATTAAATTCTGATATTAATCTATTTTTTTAGAAATTTTCTTTTATTTTCTTCCTTGAGTTAGTAAACAATCCTTTTTAATTTTGAAATTTCTTCTAATAATTCTTCTTTGTCTTGTCTAAAAAACTCAATGATATTATTTAACTCTTCTTCAAAAAATTGTATTCTCTCTTCTCATATGTCAATAATTCTTTCTAAGATATATAAACATTTTTCAAAATTCCTATTTGATTCTGCCAATTGAGATACTACCTCATGGAGTTCTTGGTTAGTTTGTTGTAATTCCTCCATATTTTTTATTTACTATAATTGAATAAAGTAATAGAGAAGCCAGTTATTTATATCAATTCAGATGAGACTCAGAGAATTGAAAAAATCTCATATTGCGTGATATATATTATTGCTCAACTGAGTATTATTCCAGTCCTAAATCCTTAAGAGATGCATGTAAAAAAGAGGGTCATCGATTCAACTTAAAAGATGTAAAAAATTGGCTAGAACACCAGCAATCGTACCAAATCTATATGCCCCCACCTAGACATATTCCTAGAGTCAGTTAAGGGAAAATAACATGACCAAATTGTGTGTATCAAGCTAATATATTATTTCTCACACATGATAAATATAAGAGAAAAATATATAAGGTAGTGCTTAATATAATAGACTGCACTTCCCGATATAAAGCATCAGTCCTGCTTACCTCAAAAAAAAGTTCAGAAGTTACTAAAGCGTTTAGGAAAGTATATGATAACCCCAATAATCCTCTTAACTATCCTAAGTTACTTCAAACAGATAATGGGCGAAACGTCCCAGTTGATGCAAGAACATGGTGTCACAATTCGAATAATAGGGCCCTATAGCCATAGAGGTCTTGCAATGGTAGAACGTTTTAATAAGACGGAAGGGGACATGCTCTATAAGATTCAGTATGCTGTTGAGTCTATATCTTCTGAACAAAGATTAATAAGAGCATGGGTTAGACATTTACCAAAAGTTGTCGATTATCTAAACAGTTATCCCACACGCCTTATCAGAGAACCGGGTTCTTCGAAATGGGGGTTGGCACCTTCAGAGGCTATTTTATTGGAGAAGGTTGAGTCCAGACCATCGGTTCCCAAAAAGCAAGCCATTGGAAAGGGTGAAGTAATGTTAAATAAAGATGATTCAGTTCGCTACCTTCTTGCTAATGCTAAATGGGAAGGTGGTATGGAAGCGGTGATAGTATCTTGTGATAAAGAAGATTCGGGCGTTTCAGATTCTGCTAATAATTCAGGTTTTGTCGGGCTATGTTCTAGTTCGGGTAAGTGATCAGGATTATTGTCTTTCTCCTTGTCAGACTGGCCCTCGATAGGAAATTGAATGGATAATGACCCTTTAGACTCATCTCTTATTTCGGAAGAAATAGTACTTTGTGCTTGGATCTGGGTGTTTACTGATAATTCTGAACAAGCCGTAGACTGCAAATATCTTTTGTAGAAGATGCGTCTTGGTCAGTAGTGATGGCTTGGGTCTGCTTCTGTTCCAATTTCGTGACTCTATCTTTTAGCTCAGCATTCTCGGCAGTAAGCATGGCAGTATCTGTTTTATTTTTCTTTTCTAGTTCTTCGAATCTAATCTTGAGCATTGCATTTTCTTCTATAGCTTGTTTCAATCTTGTGTTCTCAACCTTGACTTCGGCATTCTCCTTTCTAAGTTTATCAATTTGAAGAACAAGCTTAGAGTTTAATTCTCTCAAGGTATTGATTGTTAATTGATTGTTCGACATTGTTTATTACAAAATTGGATATATTCAAAAGGTTAATCACACGAAAAAAATATTTGCATCAACATTCTTTGCTTTATTTATTGTAAAAATTAATCAAAAGAACCAAATCTATATATGGTTACATATTAGTGTCTATATAAATTTTCCATATATCTCTACAACACATTAATTATAATCCAGTTTTATTTGTTATCATATTCCGGGTAGAATAAAAATGGTTATACAATCCCAATGTGTATCAGTTGGTGTCCGTTATCTTTTTCAAACTCTAGAGAAGAAGGTTGTAAGTTTATATTGCCTGCGTTTTGCAGTGTTAATAAATTTCTCGGAAATCTATACGAAAGAGTGATCATAAGTTTGCGAATCCGGAAGATGGTACATTAGAATGCACTGTCACAAATGAATTATTCATACCTTAATTGCGTGTTCGGAACTTTCGCTAAAAATAAAATTATTGATTATTTCTGGTTGCAAGATCTGATCAAATCCAACATCCCTACTCAGATTCTATCTCTTCGATTATATAATTTATAATATTTAAATAATAATTATTACTGTTAATAGAACCAAAAGTGCCATTCTCCAAAGTAAAATATAATTAAATATAACCTTCGTGTTCCGTAAGTGCTAGTGTTCGAAGTATACGTTAAATATGTTTACAAGACTACGCGTCCCGCCTATTAGGATAACAAAAAAATATTGCATCCAACTTTCTTCCTGACACTTCTGGGTATCAGGTTTACTTGTCCTACGAGAGGGACAGCGTCCATACACCTCTTTTTTATTAGGATAACCATAATCTCATACGGCATCCAGCGTTCGTCTTTAATGAACCAAATTAACTTGGATTAAGATTACTTGCCCTACGAAAAAGGGATATGGTGTCATGTGAAGAATCTCAACTCTCAGGAGTTTAGACTGTTACAAAAGTATAAAATATCAGGTTCATCAATGTTAATAACGTGATAGAGTTGATAATCATGAATCCACAAATCATTGGCGTAATGGAGAAAAAATTAAAGAAGGACTCAAGATTTCTTTCCCGAACCATTGTAAGTTTCGAAATATAGTTTACGTACAAGTAACGAAAATTGACTCATTAATGCATTCAGGCAAATATCGAGAAAAAACGAGAAGTCGCGGTCAAACAATTACAGGCGCAGGCAGTAGTCATCTCTTCCGAAGAGTATGTTGAACGTTCACAGGGAGCTCGTTCCATTATTGCGCGTGATTTCTTGCCACAAAATTCTAAAAAAAGAAAGGTGTACTGGTGAGCATTTTTTTACTGAACCCAGTGATTATCGCGAATTATGTCACCCTCAATATAATCATATCTTAATTTTGATTGGTCAGCAAGTGTAAACAAGATCAGGTGATAGTAGGGATGTTACGGTCCTGCAAGGACCGTGGTCCGGACCGGTCTTTTGAACCAGTCCAACCAGTTTTCGGTCCTAAATAGAGGACCGGTCTGGACCAGTCCAAAGCTTATAGAATGATCTCATTGGCTACAAAAAAAAAAAAAAAAAAAAAAAAAAAAACAAATTGCCGATGACCGTATCTATAAGTTTCCGATGTCGCAAATTCAGTAACTTATTGATTTATTGATTTTTGATTCGATAACTTGTCGATTCGGTAATTAGAAATTTTTTTAATTATCCTAGGATTTATAGTGATAGCTATAAGCAGTGTTTAAAATCTGGGACTGGGCTACTGTTCTCACCTTCTATTTAGTATTTTTAGAGTCAATTTTTGGGTGTTCTCTAATATAAAAAATTTTAAATTTTCAGCTTTTAGCTGTTCTCGCTCACAAATTTGTGTTCTTTATGAGAACACTAATTTCAAACACTGGCCGTAAGGTCTTTTTTATATGCAGCGATCATTAAAACCACAAAGCTTATTTTAAAAACCAGCCAATATACCGGTTTATGGACCGATCCTGGACCACGGTCCAGTCTGCGGTCCTCTGCTAGGACCGGTCTTTAGGACCAAGACCGGGCCGGGACGGACCGTAACATCCCTAGGTGATAGTCGCAAATAAACTGTCTCAAAAATTGGGTAACTGAATAACGTTTTCCTTATCACTCTTGTATAGGATAGTGCTTCGTCATACTATTTTTGTTGTGTGATACATTTCGTCATTTTGGAAAGGAACTGCTAGAGATTTATGATTTGTTCGTTTTTGCTTTTTTTAGATCTTTAATATTTGTTCTTTTTTTAATTGTTGCAAGTTGTTAGCGTACGTATCATACGTAGTTGGGTCATCTTCGTAGGTGAGTTTTGTTGCCTCTGTACAGGGACGATGATTTTTTGTGTTTCACAGAACACTGCAGAATTTTTCTTAAACGCAGCTAACCACAGAAATTGACCTTAATCACCGCAGAATACCACAGAATGCACAAAAATTACGAGGAATCACCCTAGAATACTACAAAAAGCCAAGAAATCACAATTTATAATGGGAAATTTTCGGAAGTAGACAGTTAATAAACATAAATTACGAGCATGGTCAGCGGGGATGGATTCTCGGGATAAATAAAATAAAATTGCGTATTTAATTACAGAAAAGTATTATATTATCACAGAATCATCATTGTTGTCCCTGCCTCTGTAGGTTAGAGTTAGGTTTAGGGTTTAGATTAGGGTTTATATTTAAGGTTAGAGATTATTAGGTGCATGTTTGCCATTAGCGATTATGTTATGTTTCTTTTTTTTAGGTTGCTAGTTATCGTGTTCACCAATAATATAGTTTTGATCCTTTCCGATATATTTCTTTGTATTTTTTTGTCATGATTTTAATTTTTTGTGTATTGCAAATTTTATCATTTTACTGATTTTTTTTTATTTATTTTTAGGTTAAGCTGTTATGTCTTCACTAGTAATACGGTTTGGTTTTTACTAATGTATTTTGGTTTTTTAATTTTTTTGTACCTTTTTGTTTTTTTTAATTTATATTTATTAAGTTCTTATTTTCTTTTTGATTAACATATCTTTTTTTCGTAATATCAAATGTGGTGGTTATAGATGTGTGCCTAAATTATTTTTGAAAAAAAGTATCTTTAGCAAATAATTTTTTATTAAAATAAGCAATTTAGGCACATATGTATAAATATAGTTTCCTAATTACATTGTTAATGTTTTGTTATAGACTATACTATTTATTTTTGTTGAGATTTTATTTGCTTAATTTTGTTGTGTGAATGATTGTTTTGTCATAATGTAATTTTATAGTCTGTCTTTTTTTTTATAATTTAATACTGTTTTTTTAATAAATTGAATTCCAAGATTTGATCCTGTAAATAGTTAATTACTATAAAATAAATTTTTAAAAACAATGTAGAAATATGCAATAGGCAATTATTAATTAAATAAATTAAAATTATCATTATGATTTTATATATCTTTATTACTATTGCAAATAATAAATATATATATACAATTAATGATATATAAACAATTATTAAATTAAAAATAAGTAAATCATTATTATAGATTTATTTATATTAAATTATTATATGTATTAATAAATACATGCTGAATTTGCAAGGCTAAAAATAAAATTAACTTAATTCGATCTTTAGAATATGCATACCAATTTGTAATGATAGAAAAGATAAAATTAAAGATTTATTTAATTTTATAAATATGCATATTGAATTTGTATAATAGAATTAATAAAATACATGCCTGATAGATCTGGTAATCTTAGTATAGTAGTTAGATTGCTAAACTGTTAAACAAGAGGTCTAGGATTCAAATCTTATTGTCAACAAATTTGAATAATTATTCAGACTTTTGTATATAACTTATAGTAAACCCTGTTTGTTTCTAAAGTTGTAACTCTGTAAATTATATTGTATTAATATTATCTGAATATTGAAAATATGATATAATATTGCATAAATAAATCTTAATAAGATCTATAGGCAGGAGATTTGTATTGTAGAAATTTTAAGTTGATGAAGTAATATAGCTTTCAACAATTACACTAGATAATACTTGATCTAGAAAGGAAACTATTACTCTAAAAATATAGATCAAGTTAGATATGAGTAAGTTCATTCTACAAGAAAAATTAGCAATATCAACTTGGCTTAGTAGCTAACTAAATTGAGAAAATTTATTTTATAAAATATTTGAAAAGATTAGCAAATATAAAACTTATAGAGAGCTACAATAGGAACTGAAATTATATGAATATTACAAAAGTCTAAACTAAGTAAATAAGTATAGACTATTCTAGTAGATATATTTCTAAGATTAACTAGAGCTTTGTATTTTTATAATATATTAGACAAATATATATTACAAGAGGATCTAATTATGTAGTAAATAGATCTACAAGTAGGTTAACTAGTTTAAGCAGTCAGATGTAGTGATAATGTTAGTTTAAAATAGAAAGAAGAGTTAATAATCAGAGTGTTTAAATAGATAACTCACAGATGAGTTACAGATATAGTAGTATAGTATAGAACTAACAGATAGTTAATTATTTGTATAGTAAACTACTTAAATTAGATAATAACTAAAGTTGTATATATAGCTTGTTATATACTTATCATATAACTATAAAATCTTAGGAGATTATTATTTTAATAACTTTATAATAACAAATTAATAAAATCTAATTGGCTAAAAAAGCTATCTTAATAATAATAAAAAAAGGCAATTACTATTTATACACGAGTGTATATACACACGTATGATAAATATCTCAAAATTTTGCCTAAGAAACTACTTTTGAGGTTCTAATAAAAAAAATTTCTTGCCAAATTTTGGTATAAACTATATACCTTGCTAAAATCCTAAGTCTCACTCTAACTCTAAACTTAATTAAATTTTATTTTTATAAAAATTGTTTTAATTTCGATTACATAAATTTAAAAATTAATATTTGTGTACAAACACATGTATAAATTAAGTAATTTTCATAAAAAAATATATGTCTGCTAAATTCATAATAATAAAAAAGATTAAATTAAAGATTAATTAGATCTTATAAATATATATACTAAACTTATAATAATAAAAAAATAAGATTAAAGATTGAATTAATTTGATTTTAAAGATATATATACTAAATTCATAATGATAAAAAAAATAAAATTAATGATTGAATTAATTTGATTATATATATGAATTTATTTTTTTTATTTTTTTTTTTACGTTTAAGACAGCTTACATTGCTGACAGGATTTTATTAGTATTTGCATATGGAATTATACATTGATAATCCCTACTATTTGTAATTACATGAAGAGTGTACAACAAGCTATACGTATAACTTTAGTCATTGTCTAATTTAAGTAGTCCACCGCACAGGTGATTAGACCACCTGATTGGTTCTTATATATATGAATTTATAATGATAAAAAAAATAAAATTAATAATTGAATTAATTTGATTATATATATGAATTTATAATGATAAAAAAAATAAAAAAATAAAAAAAAACAAATAAATACTCCTATTGCATACTAAAGCTATAAAAGAAATATTATTTTATCTTTAATATTAGTATTAGTTTAAAAAGTTTTTTAGCTTTATATTAAATTTTCTTACTATATTCATACAAATCAAATATTTTAAGTAAAGCTGTCTTCTTTAATTTAATATATCTTTATTAAAAAAAAAAATGTCACAAAATAAAGAAGTTATTTCATTTTTATTTATATTAGTAAATAACTATAGTGATATTTATTTTAATATCTGAGACACTGAGCATGCTGTCAAATTTTTTGAAGAACTTGGCATTTTACTATGAATAGTTTTTTGTAAAAGATGTTAAAACTCTATGTATAAATCAAAAGATTATTCTTGTAATGATGATCAAAACTAGATCTGTACTTTAAAAACTACTTGTGAATATAAGCAAACTATAAGATTGAGAACTTAGTTAGAAAATTTCAGATTATCTTTTGTACAAATTGCAAAAATTATATTTTGTTAGTCTTATAAATTATCTTAAAAATTTGTATCTGCTGAATCTGATATTACTGTACAATCAATAGTTGATTAGTATAACTATTGTTATAATATATACTATATAATACTAATAAATCAAAGTAATAAAAAAATTAGTAGTAAAAAAAAAATTATAGAAATTGATAAAAGTAAATTTGGTAAATGTAAATATTATAGAGAAAAAAAAGTAAAAGGTTAGTAGATTTTTGGAGAAATTGAAAGAAAATTAGAAAAATATTTATGGTTACAGTTTCTGATTGCAAAGAAAAAATATTAATAAAATTTTTAGAAGAATATATAGAAAAAAAAACTA